GTGGGGAGCGCGTTAGAAAGTATAGGCGACCCCGAGAAAGCGAATAAAGCGGTGTGATAGAGGAAATAGTGCGAATGGTAAGGTCGCAGTGACGAAGGTTGCCGCTGGAGCATGGCCGTGTAGCAGACTGCAAAACGCATATTAGTTACTGTATCGACGAAAGTTTACACAACCAATTCTTCGCCCATCCTGGAACCGTGAGTTGTATCGCGCGACTTGCGCGAAAGGCAAGCGTGTAGCTTCTGTCTTGCTTCAGAAGAATCGGGCCACCGCTGCGATTTTCGACCAACCCGATGGAGATGTGCTTGCAATCTTAGGTTGTGGGGCCGTGCACCGCCCCTCACTGGCGTGGATGCCTTTGCCGATTTCCCTTGACCTGTATCTACTGTTCACTCCAAGCCCCATACGTCCTATTTACAGATCTTGTTAGATTACATTCTGATAAATCCGTTGAGGACCAAGCGGCAGAACTGTATTCAAAGGGTGGACTTATTGATACGAGCTCTGCCCTTGCTTCCCTCTCTGCTGAAGGTCGCAATAGACGCAAGCACCAGAGATGGAGGTGTACACTAAAGCTACCAAGACCATGTGAGGCTGGCTAAATAGCGTTAATCTTAAGGTGGTGACTGAAAAAGTGTGCAAGGCTGCTGAAGTTGGTGCTCAATTCGTACAAACCCTAGGCGACTTGTAAGAAATACCCAGGTATCGATAGGTACGGGAACATTGAGGCAAGACGAGAATACGTAAGACATCAGAATCATTAGTAGCATTTACACTAGGTTCACGATTGGGTATCTTGATAACTGCGAAGGTGCGCTTTTTATTTGCCTGAATCATCGAGCACATTCATTCCCTGTCACCATGAAGCAGCCGCTATTCTCCTGTTGCTAGGCGCGAGTGCAGATCTCGCGCGGGTTACTAGTATTCACACCACCAAAAACGTACTGGAAATCTGCAAAGACCCCGGTTCCCACCGCTTCGAGATATCTAACTGTCCTTCTTGTTGCAGATTTAATGCATCCACAGACACTGCTGACAGTAGATATGTCACCACGATGAGTATCGTGTCCACAATTGAGACAGATACCACCCTGATCATCAGAGTTTCACTGGTCAGCAAGATATCGACGACTAATGCAACAACTCCTGGCTGTGTATCCGTCTATTTCGCAATGTATAACTTCATGAGAAGGAGCAAAACAAGCGAAGATCAGGACAAGTGGACAAAGACTTTATCAGATGTAGACCTAAAGGACATACCGCCAATCTTTACCGTGGAGACATCGTTACCGTGGTTTCAACTAGGACCAATACAACCACTGCTACTACAACAACCAATACTAGTACCATCATTAGTATGGCGACAATGACATATGTTCTCATCCCTCTCGATGAAACCGCTACCAGATTCTTCACGTCTTGGATGTGAATGTGGGAATGGAGTTCTCAAAAGTACATCTCGACTGTCTACTCAACCACCACCATCACCATCGGAATCCCTGGCTCAGCCTACTAGACAGCATACGTTCCAAATAGCATCATATCCACAGCGAACGGCGTAAGGATTAGTAATGGCTATTTGAGATTGGGAGTAGGTCACAAGGTTGTCAGTGCGGCGAAAAGTCCCTACGATGGCTGCATCGCCTGCGTTACAGGAACTGACTGTGGCCTTGCGCTCTTCCTCTCAAATAAGTGCTTGCGGACGATTTTCGAAGATGAGAGAATATTCAGTCAAGGCAACGGGAAGAGCACTTTATTTACAGTTCCGAACAACGACCCTATTGCTGCATTGAATGGGTAATGTGAAAAGACTACACTTTAGTAAGTCAGGCTATTGGCTTAACGTGCTCATGTATCCGGTTTGACTTCTACTGTTCATCTATGATTAGAAGTTGAACGCATCATAACACCGCATCATTGCATTCAATTTAACCATTTCATCACCAGAAAACGGGAGGTTGGTGCTACAGCCGTATATTGAATGGACTCCAACGACAACTACATATATGTTGACTCATATCTTCATTCCTCCTTTCTCCGTCCAAGCTTCATGTTTACATGCCTCGGCTGACTTCATCCATCATCTCGTTGTACTACTCGTCGCAGCCACAGTCGGAAGGAGTAGGAGCTGGCGCAGTGCTAGACTCACAGGAGCTGGAAGCGGGTGGGGCTGGAGGGGCTGGAGGGGCTGGAGGACCAGCAGTAGGAGTGGGACCACCACCACCTGTGGCAGTAGCAGTGACAGTAGCGGTGGGGGCACCGCCACCTGGGGCGCCGGCACCAGGGCTGACATCCTGACACAGAACGTCCTGACCCGCAACGGGAATAACACAGCACTTGGCTTGCTGGCCAGTGGCAGCGCAGCCGCTGATGAAATCGCTAGTGTTGGCAGGAGTGGTGGCAGCTAGTTTGTAGCGTTAGCGCTGATCTTTGTATGCAAGAAAAGACATAGGAGCGGAAGACATACGGACTGCGCAGTTCAAACCAACAGCACCAAGGACATCAGTGGCACAGCACTGGGGGTTGCTGTAAAGCCCAGCAGGGCAAAGAGTGGTGGTTCCAGTGGAAGCAAAAGGAGCGGCAGCGACGCCGGCAGCGAAGGCGAGGATGGAGTAATGCATATTTATTGCTGAAGATTTCTTCTTGACTGGTAGACAATGAAGGGCTGGTGGAAGCGAAGGTAGAATGCTGAGATGCTGCTTGATGTTGATGGTAGTCATTTTGAAGTCCATCCTTTGCCTTCTTTTATACTTTGCTCTCCGACATACTTCATCGTCGCTTGGCGGTCTACTAGTGCCGTGGAGTCTCTCTTTCCGTTTTCCCGTATCCTATATTGCGGTTGTTTTCGTCCCTAGTTCATCGAACGTGGTATGTACATCGTTTGGACGCAGCATGACGCTGTACGACAACCCGAGTCCCATCTCGGCTCGTCGCAATCCAGAACCATCTGCGGAGTAATAAGAAAACACTGATCTCATCCAATACCATTGGTGAGAAATTTCATTCCTGAATAAATTCGATAAAGGTTGTTTACCCAGTGGCCCATGTAGGTATGCGATTCCTCGATCTGACCTTGGAATAGCCAGACATTGTTGCATGTGCTGCAAGACGTGCATCTACGCGATGTCCCAGGGGCTTCCCCGCAACTCCAAAGCGAATCGCTCACTGAAGCTACTGAGTACCTTGAGTCAAGATTGATACTCTATAGAAGGCTAACAGTGTGGCTCGCAAGGGACCAATGCATTCGACTGTTCAAGTGTTTGCGTGGATATCGCAAAACCTCCAACAATAACCGAAAGTCCGCATCAATGATTCAATGACTAGTACGTGTACACAACCAAGACTGCAATTCACGTCCTTGGCACATGTGACCCCGTTGGTTGGAAGAGGACTCTGCTTCAAAGCGGTGCGTGATCTCAGTCCTTCCTCATCGCACAGCACTTTTCCACAGGTCGTGTAAGAACACATACAGTATGTATGTCAAACAACTTAGACGTTCCCCAAAATCCAGAAACGCTCTAGAACCTGATCTTAGGGCCTGGCAGTCATCCTGTAAGGTACAATGTGGCTTGCTATCATGGACCGAATGTCAGGCGGTCGTGTGCTTTTGCCTCGTAGATGCCCGAAGATTGTGTCTCGTTACGAGAGACCGTATATAGTGGCCATGTTGCTTCGTCGTCATAGTACTGATATCCGGAAAAGACGGAGGTTAGCCATGGTATGGATATGGACATTTTATTAGCCATATAAATCTGATTGGGCAATGTACATGACCCAGGGCCGGGGCAACTTGCGGTAGTGTTACCAACGTGACGGGGTGTAGCACCGGGTGTATTGCAGATAGGCGATTGGTAAGAACGGACAAGATCACCATAGTGAGCATGGAAGGTCGTGGTATCGATAAAACGTCGATGCCGGCAGCGAGGTCGAAATTAAGTTGCGGGGAAAGTAGCCTGCCATCGGGCTAGGTGATTGAACCTTGCTTAGCGCGTCGGCTCCATAGGTAAGCTCCACATCCACCTTAGCCATATCACTAGCGATGGTGGTCCAGTCGATTTCAGTACGTCGCCATTGTCTAAGTTAGACAGATTGCCTCGGCTATACTTGGAGATCTAGAGCTTGAAGAAACCAGATTGCAGGCACTTCACCGTTCAATGCCGCTTAGAACTCGGAATAAAATGCTGCAGGCGCGTCCTTCGCCGCTGCCAGATTCATCGATCGATCGTCATGAGCTCGCTCTACTCCGTAACATGCTAATCAGAGCGCCAACTAGAAGAAGTCCTACCAAGACTCCACTCTGTACTGGCGCAAATAGTGCAGATCGTAAGATTACCAGAGTACCGACGATGACGAAGATGATGGGAAGAATAATAAGTGGGCGGTAAGGCCGTTCCATCTGGGGTTCTCGGCGGCGGAGTATAAGCAGTCCAACTACCGTACTAACGTAGAAGACCCATTCAGCCATACCAACGAACGTCAAGAGTGCCCGAAAACTACCTGTCAGGATATAGACAAGGGTTACGACCAAAGCCAAAGCGTTAGCGTAACTGTTTTCCGCGTTAGTCAGTTGTGGAATGCAATAAGTCAGAAGGGCTTACATGGGAGCGTCGAGGCTGAATGAAGCGGTGGTGTCTGCCTCAGACCTCTGCGTCATTGGCAACCCTCGTTTGCTGAATACTGCCGGAAGATAATGGCGTTGCGATGCAGCCATCGTCAGTCTGCCCACCGCGAAGACATTACTAGTGATGGACCCTGCGCAGGAGATGGCAACAAGAATAGTAACTAGAATACCAGCAGGTCTCCCTAAGAGGGATGAAGCAGCAGCGACTGCCACTGCGTTGTTGCTGCTTAGCTTGTCCCAAGGTACAAGGATGTAGTAAGCCACGTTCACAAGTTCAAATGAACTGAGTACCACGATCATCGCAGCTTTGATCGCTTTTGGAAGAGCACGACCTGGGTCGCGGATTTCACTCGCAACGATGTTGGCCTGGACAACGCTATCAGCCGGCATTGTTGGAGCACAAGAAGTATGCACTTACATTATCCCATCCGTCATACGCCCAAAGTCCTCCATATATCGCTGCGCAATAGTGACCGTAACGATCCCATGTCCTCATTGACACCCAGTCGATAGTTTGGCCGTCCGATACTGTCGACCTTGTCTGAAACCAATTGCGAGTGTACCAGTCGCTCGGTCCAGATAACGAAGAGTTTGGGTTGATCAGATGTGCCACTACAGCAACGACCCCACCTAAGACTATCAGGGCCACGGTCGACAGCTTGAAGACCGTGAAAGACTCGCTCAGCCGCATTGTGAACCTGGTATTGATGGAGTTGAGCAACACCATGGAGACAAAAGCTATGGCAGCGATGAGTTTGAGCATTTTGGCATCTGGTAAGTCGCCAGTACTGGATGTGACTGATCCTATGGATTCGGCGATGACGATACTTTGGATGGCCATGGATGAAGGCTTCACGCCGAGGATGTACACCCAGGCCATGAGGAAGGCAGCCGTGTCACCGTAGATGTGGCGTAGGTATTCTTGCATACCACCATTCAGTGGAAGCGCTGCACCAAGCTCAGCAAACGATGCTGCTCCTGCCCATGATAGCAGCCCGCCAAGGACCCAAACTAGGAGAGCAGCTCCAGGAGAAGGCACGTTGCTGTCAACCTGCGCTGGTGAAGCGAAGATTCCCGACCCGATTTGAAGTGTAACAAGAACGGCAAATGCATGTCGCGTAGTGAGCTGCTTGGATAGCTGCTGTACCGCGCGTGATGAAGACGAAGAGCGCCGTGCAAGCAGTGGTTCCCGTTCCGACTCGGTTGTGTTCAACTTGGGAGCGTCTTGGCTCCCAGGGCGGCTGGAGCCGTGTATGTCGTCCATTGCACTACACCCGCGGTTTCCGTCTCGAAGGTATTGAGGCTACACAGTAGTGGATTTTCTTGCTGCTGGGTAGGAACGGTCCTTTTTTGCGACCTTGGCGGGCGGAAGACGCTAGACCATGTCACAAGACATCAAGCACGCGCCATGCGGCTCTCTGCTTACAGGTGAGATCCGATGGGTTAGATGTAGGAGATGACCAAGTGGGCCTTGCACAAATCCGGTTGACGTTACTGAAACTTCTGTAGTCGTCATATCGTGCTTTCCCCAGTTGATGTGGCGTCTGCACTAGCCTCAGGTGTGGCGCAGCAAGAGAGCACAATATGGAGAACCGAGCATGACAACGACAGATATGACAGATGATAGACCGAATATCGTTCAGAGCACTCAAGGGTAAATTTCTTCCAAGCACTGTTCCCCATCTCTTCTGCAATACCCCCATCCTGCGAGCGTGGCGCGTCGGTGGTGCCTGCCTGTGGCTCGAAAAGCTCGGACTGGCCCTTCAGCGCCCTGACACCCCTCTTCGCTTCCTCACCAACTGCCCAGGTACGTCAACACCACGCCCGCGTTTTAAGCTCCCTACCGCGCACTCATAGACTTAACTCCCCCCAGACCCTGAACCATGGACGCGAATCAAAATGACGAGCTTTACCCCATCGCCGTGCTCATCGACGAGCTCAAGCACGACGACGTTATCCTCCGCCTGAACGCCATCCACCGACTAAACACAATTGCCCTCGCCCTAGGCGCCGAGCGGACACGAGAGGAACTCATACCGTTTCTAGATGGTGAGCGGCTGCCCGGTCGACATGCCCAGTCTAGACTAGCTAACGGATGTATTCAGAGTCGGTTGAGGACGAGGACGAGGTTCTCACAGCATTGAGCGAGGAACTTGGCAAGTTTGTCGAGTACGTCGGCGGCCCAGAGCATGCACACGTGCTTCTGTCGCCTCTCGAGAACCTTGCAGCAATAGAAGAGCCCCTTGTCCGGGAAAAGGTGTGCGCTGCAATCGCCTAGATCTGGCTGCCAGCTAACACGTGCAGGCTGTCGAATCGCTCAACAAGATCTGCGAAGAGCTGTCGCAGCAGCAGATTGAAGAAAACTTCATACCCCTCGTCTTGCGCCTATCTAAAGCCGACTGGTTCACCTCAAAGATCTCCGCGACGGGACTCTATCAGACCCCCTACACTCGCGCTACACCCCCTTCACAAGAAGCCCTCAGGCAGCACTACGGCCAGCTAGTGCACGATGATACCCCCATGGTACGGAGACAGGCGGCAAACAACCTCGCCAAGTTCATCAAGGCCATGCCGCCGTCCATTGTCATCGAAGAGATGATTCCCCTCTTCCAGCACCTCGCCGCAGACGACCAGGACAGTGTCCGACTCCTGACTGTCGACATCCTCATCGCGATCGCCGAAGCGGTACCCAAGGAGCAACAGTCGAGCCATGGTGTTCTCCTGACTGCGCTGCGGAGTCTGTTCGAGGACAAGAGCTGGAGGGTGCGGTATATGGTAGCAGACCGATTTGAGAAGGTGCGTTCGGCTGGTAGCGAAAGGAAGCATGCGCTAATGGAATTAGATTGCGAAAGCCGTCGACGAGGAAGTTGTCAACCGCGACCTTGTGCCAGCCTTTGTCAAGCTTCTCAAGGATACAGAGGCCGAGGTACGCAGCGCCATTGCAGGACAAATTCCAGGTATGCCTCTTGGGAGCAGGTGCACGGCACATGAGCTAACCACTACTAGGTTTCTGCGCGCTGTTGGAGCGTGAGACCCTTCTACACGAGGTTATGCCTAGCATAGAGGAGCTGGTCTCCGATCAGTCTCAGCATGTTCGCGCTGCGCTTGGCACCCAGATTAGTGGACTCGCTCCAATCCTTGGAAAGGAAGAGTAAGTTGCGACTACGCGTGACCACGTGCTTTCTTACTAACACTAGTCAGGACCATTTCGCATCTCCTTCCCATGTTCCTGCAGATGCTCAAGGACGAATTCCCCGACGTTCGCCTAAACATCATCTCCAAGCTCGAGTCTGTCAACAACGTCATCGGCATCGAGCTCCTCTCGCAGTCCCTCCTCCCCGCTATCGTCCAACTTGCCGAGGACAAGCAATGGCGCGTACGCCTGGCAATCATCGAATACGTTCCTCTCCTCGCGTCGCAACTCGGTGTGCAGTTCTTCGATGAGAAGCTTAGCAGCCTATGCATGAGCTGGCTCGGCGATACCGTCTTCTCGATCCGTGAGGCGTCGACTCAGAACTTGAAGAAGCTTACGGAGGTCTTCGGTGTAGAGTGGGCCAACGATGCTATCGTTCCCAAGGTCATGGCTATGGGCCAGCACCCCAACTACCTCTACCGAATGACTACATGCTTCGCCGTCTCAACACTGGCGCCTGCACTGAGTCTGGATGTCATTGAACAGTCCATCATCCCCATGATGGACAAGCTGGTCAATGACGATATCCCCAACATCAGATTCAACGTGGCGAAGTCATATGGTCAGCTCATCAACACGCTCAAGCAGCTGCCTGAGCAAGGTACTGTCATCGCTCTCGAGAAGGCTGGTACACCGGGCCAGGGTTGCCAGAAGGCTACAGATGTCATTACCAAGAGCATCCTGCCGAACCTCGAGAAGCTCCAGCAAGACGACGATGTAGATGTACGATACTTTGCGACGACGGCCGCACAAAGTTTCACGGATGCGATGCAGACTTAGAAGATCCAGCTTCGTCCGTGTTCTTGAATGTGCAGAATGACATCATGAATAGCATCAACGATGGTTAATGATATGGAACGGCTGCAAAGAAGGGCATGGCGGTGAGAAAACAGCGTAAGCCGAAAGCCCTGTAGGTGTAGTTCCAAGCTTTGTTTTATGAGAGTTGAGTGGGCTAGTAGTTGGGCTCACTGGCAATAAACCACAAAGATTACCCAGTTAGAATCATTCCTGACAGATTCGCAATGCATACTTTGGCGTTATCACTAGTATCGAGTGCACAAGATGAGTGACGTTGATGATTTATTTTCATTCGCATTATGCCATGGTGTAATAGCTATAGCTTGGCCGTTGAGGTTGCAGGTAGTCAAACGGCACCAGCCTCCTTGAGAAGGTTGTTGAGCTGACCCTTCTTGGACTGCAAATCGCTGTTTCCACCAATGTGCTTCTGAGCGATGAAGATGTTGGGTACGGTGGTCTGGCCAGTCATTTCGCCGAGAGTAGACTGGATAGCTGAGCCGTCATCTATGCGCATGTTAGCTGCTAGTCTTGTAGCTCCGTCGATAGTTGCAGAGTCTACATACCAACTTGGTCCAACTCAATCGCGTAGAACTTTGCGCCACTGTCGCTGAGCAACTGCTTGGCCTGGCGACAGTAAGGGCAGTAAGACTTTGAGAAGACGGCGACGGGGTTCTCGTCGATGATGGACTGGACCTTGGTCTTTGTAGCGGACATTGTGGCGGGCGAGGGGGCGCGCGTGAAGAAGTGACGCAGGAAGGAAATTTTGGCGGTAGTTTGGAGGTGCTGGAGGTTGGTGAGTATTGTGTTTGGTAGTCGAGGGTAGTGTTGCTAGAGGGGTGGTGGGAGGCGTACTTATGCGTGGGTGATGGGATGCCGAAGTTTGTCAGATAGATTCTAGATCGGTGTGTGTTTATGAGCTCGGTGTGGATGTGTATAGAAGTGGTGATTAGTGATGTGCAGCGTGCCCCCCGCAGTAGTAAACGTTCTCGATGGCAAATGATGCAATCGCTCGTGAAAGACGGCTGCGCTAACTGACGTCGGAGATGGATCGGCGATGTGATGTGATTACAAAGAGGCTAAAAAGGGACAGGGGCCAGAGGCGCGGCTTTGGCCATGACGCGTGCGGCTGGATGCGACGCGGACGAATGTAGGGACCTAGCTTGCACACATGTTTCGGCGTCTTTGATGCCAAGCAGACAGCTGTTACTCTGAAAATGTGAAGGAAATTATGAAATACTGTAGATGAAGAGATGATAGTGCAGAGGTAGGAAGAACCAGAATCAGGAAAGCACAACGGGTCGCGTACGTTCCGCATTCCGAGATTGAGCGTTCCGACGCTTCCACGCCGTCGCAACAACTGTCAGACTATCTTGGGTTCCCGCCATCCCAAGGCGTCCATTCACTCTCACCACACACACCATCAATCAACTAGCTGTAAACCCGCGCTTCTTATGCGCACGTCGCACCACACTCCACGATGACGTCCTCAGCGGCCGGATCAACCGCCTTCTTCATCCTCTCCCTACTGTCCATATGCGGCGCCGTTCTGCTCCTCCTACGCTACTATCTCCCGCTTCGCACAACACCCGCATACGTCGTCGTACCCGTCTTCTTGGCAATAGCGCTGCCGGCCAGCATCGTCGTGCTCCTGCCCATCGACCTCGCGAGTAGTGCTGGACTCGACACAACGGATGGCGCCAGAGGCATATGGCTGAACGACACGGTTGTGTACAAGGCATGGCGCATCATATACTGGCTCACGTTTGCGCTTACGTGGGCCATCTTGCCTATGCTAGGCGAGTACTGCGATAGTGGGTATAGAGAGCCCAAGGCAAGATTGCAGTATGCGCTTAGGAGCAATGGCCGGTATTGGCTCATTGTGGCTGGGTGTAGTATCGTAGGTTCGATATACTTGCTTCTGTGGAACGGCTTCCACGTGGATACTTTCAAGAGCTTGGTCATGGCGCTGGCGTATACCTGGGGTCTGATACTGGGCATCTACCTTATGGGTCATGGACTCGTCGCCTTCCCCAGGAGTTTGTTTCGATACGCTAGTGTTAGCGAGAGATTGAAGAGGATACAAAGTCAGGCGCCCAAGGTTCACGACAAGTTGACTGAGGCATTGGAGAAACTGGATCAGTATGAATACCAGGTTGTGCAGCTCAAGCAAAGGAAGAATAGTACTGCGCGCGAGTTTCAAGAGTGGATTGATGAGTTGGCAGAGAAGGGTAATCTTCCGGAGAACAGGGCTGGTGTTGTTGGGCGTATGGGCACAGCGACAGTGCCTCCTGTCATCACTGAGAGATACCTGGCGGACCTGACGAGGAAGTTGAAGCGGGCGCGCCATGCAAAATGCCGATTCGAGAACGAATGGGACCGTGTTGTACAAAAAGCTGTCAGGACGCAGGCTATCCTCGATTCCAAAGCCAGCAAACATCTTGAGTTCAAAGGCGTCGCGTTGCCAGCCTCAAGAGGATTGTTCGATCGCATCACCATTCTCACACCATTCACGCGCTACCACCTGCACGTCCACGTCATCCCCGCTCTGGCCTACGTCTCCTGGGCCATCACAATCCTCGCATCCATATCCATCGTCTGGTCAGAATGCGTGCGCGAAGCCCAGGACTTTGGTGGACCGAAACTCTCTATTATCGGCTGGACTGTCGTACACCGCCACGACAATGGCCGATCGTCGGTCGGCTTCAACAGCCAGATAATCGCTGCTGCCTGGCTATGCTACATGTGCATTTGCGCCTTCTATAGTCTAACCGAGGTCAAGATATGGGGCAACAGGGCGCTCGTGCGAAGAAACACATATCAAGAATCTGCGACCTGGTACGGTCTCCAAGTCGCCAAGTTGACCGTCCCTTTGAGCTACAATTTCCTTACCATGACGGACAAGAACATCTGGAAGGGTACCATGTTCTACAAGTTCCTTGGCCGCCTTATCGTTCTCACACCACTCGGTGAAGGCTTCAGCGCATTCTTCCCCATCTTCATCCTCGTACCCGTCTTCGCTACGGCTTTCGGACTCTACGGCAAGGTGAAGAACATCTGTGGCTTCGGAGATCTACTCGACGATGAAGAGGACGCATCAGGAAACTACGCTGGCACCGGCTCATGGCGCGAAGGTCGCGCATTGATCGAACGCGAAATTCAAGGTGCAAGTGGAAACGTCCTAGGCCTTTCCCAACGAACCAATACTAGCCCGCCAAACGAACGATACACAGACACACCAGCACCGTCGTCGTCATCTAGCCTCCCTACCGCGACCGCAGCAGCGGCAAACGGCGGCCCAAGCACCACACGCCTCTCAACAACCCATCCCGACCGCCGACGCCCTGCACTCGAAGACGAAGAAGACGAAGGTAACTTCTTCGAAAACTTCGCTTCAAGAGTCAAAAACACTTTCGACACTAACGACTTCTCCTTCCCCCGACCGAAGTGGCTGGGTGGCGATGAGGAAGAAGCCGAAGCTGGACGTAGTAGTAGAAGACCGTTTGATCGAGGTGACGGGGATCGTGGAAGTGGGTTTTTGAGTCTGTTTGGTGGGAGGGGGGATGAGGGGAGGGTAAGGCTGTAAGATTTCATGTCGTTACTCAAATGGGCATTGCGATGGTGTTTTGGAATAGACATTAGGGATTTGGATGAGTATGTAGAACTATTGAGTATACTGGTTATGATGGGTGCGCGGCTGCGCTTTAGATATATTTAATAAGGACCTTTTATCTCTTAGGCCCGGTGCCATGGCAATCGCGTTAAGTTCTGGTGTCTTAGTGGTCGATCAATCTGACTTACTCGTGGCGCTTTCCTGGGTCCTCAACATGATGCAACCAGTTGCACTTTGCGCAAATCGGTGTAAGCGTACCGCAGCCAATCGGTCCAGGGTCGTGAACTGGCCGTTCCTTAAGAGAAGGGTGAGTGCCTTCTCCCGCCTTTCTCTTCAGCCTTTGCCCACTTCCCGCCTCATCGATAAGCAAACCTCATCGACAAGCAAACTTCATCGCCTGGAACATGGACGAACCTCCCACAGCATCCGAAGCCGATAGCAGCTACGAGGCCAGTGTTAGCGGCTCTTGTGCTGGGTCGGTTTCAAAACATGCATTTGTTGATCTCTGCCAGCCACGCCTGTAAAGCCAGGTTGCACTTCCTAGGATCGAGCTATGGAATGTTTTACATGGATTTTGTTCTTGAAAAGTCTTGGGGTCGCAAAGAAAACAGTTGCTGCGGTATCTACATCTTGGTCCTAACACTCTTACCAGTTCCCTCAACCAGACCTCAACAGCATCGCGAGACTGACGAGCTCTTTCGAGCCGGGACGAAATTAATTGTGGTGGCTACCGACGAAACTAAACATGCAGTTCAGCTTACCACCCTAGGACATGCACCCCCAGCTCTCAGGCTTCTTATGATCTCCCCCAAGAAACGTATTTCTGGCTGGATACTTGCAGTGTCTCCTCATAAAATCTACCCCATTCTTCACAGTATCATTCACGAACTTCGTCCCCTCCATATACGCCGGTGCACTACCCCCCTCTACCCAATCGATCATCGCTGCAAGGACATTATGCTGCGCATCGAACGGAATACCAGCTTGCGCCGCGTTCCCACCTTGACCCAGCACCCACGCACCAGGACCAGTACTGCAATGGAACATACCTGAGACACGGAAGAAACGCGTCCATTCATCCATGTTTTCGTAACTGCTGTTACCGCGGAGATGCTCGTAGAAGCGGTTCGTATTGAAAGAGGTAATCTGATTATCCTGCTGCCCGTGGTACATGAGCAGCTTTCCGCCGCTTTGCTTGAATCCCGGCAAAGACGATGGATAGGTGCGAATGTCTCCTGGATTCAGATCTTGGGCTGCACGTACGTCATCTAAACCATACTCCGATGCGTTCCAGGTCGGATCATTGTACACGACGTACTTGAACCAGTCGTCCGAGTAGGCGAATGGAGCGCCTGCGTATAATTTGTCTACGGCGTTGATCTCACTGCCTGGTTGCATGGCAGGGTAGATCAGCTGTCCATTCGGAAATCTGTAATCGCTGTAGATGATCTTCAGCTGTTGGACTTGGTCCTCGTTCAGGCATTCAGCCGTAGAGTTGTGGCCACATAACAGCGTCGAAGGATCGAACTTGCACAAGGCCGGGTCTTCAATGATGCCATCTTTGACCTTGTCAATGGTATCGCATTGGCGCAGCACCTCGTCGTGGATCCACGTCTGCCAAGCGGTCTTTGGAATGAAGTTGGAGCCTTTGATGGGGCCAGTGATGGTGAAGAAGCGTGCGCGCCAGGATATCAGATTGTTGAAGTCGACACCTGGTGCTCCGGCGACGATGCCATCAAAGTCATTGGGGAACTTCTCTGCGCTCTTAATGCCTTGGCGTCCACCAAGAGAGCAGCCTAAGTAGTAAGATTTGGTGAAGTCCTCCCCGTAGAACTCCTTGGACAAGGCCTTGCCGGTAACTACGCTGGTGTGGAGTCTAGATCGCGGGTGAGTAGATGTTTCGAGCTAAGGAGGAACTATGCTTACGATCGCCAGGCGAAATCCACCACCATCTCAGGATTGTCGAGAAATGCGACTCCTGTAGTACCATTATGACCATTGTTTGCACCGACGGTGGCAAAGTTTCTCGAAGCCCCATACGCTATATCCTCATACTTTATGCCTTTTGTTGCCGTCAGCATCAGGTACAGCTAATACTCATTCTTCTATTTATCCAACACTTACAGCCATCGATACCCCCATTACCTGTTGCCAGGAAGCGACCGGACCAGTCTTCCGGAAACCATGCTTCAAAAGCAATTTTTGAGATTCTGGATGTCTTGATCTCGAGTGTCATACGACAGAGATCCACGGAGACGATCTGGCTAGTTCGACCGCATGTCACGTCGTTGTCCGGAAACGTCAGGTTGGCACCCGCCGGAACGTGTTGGAGGACGTTCAGAGTCGCATCCTTGATGTACTTTTCTGGTGTGAAGGCGAGACATTTCTTCTCAAACGCTGACGACGCGATAGAGACTTGGGCCAACGCAAGGTACGAGACGATCAGCGCCCAGAACGAGGGGAACATATTGGCGATGAAGGGATTAGATGACTTGGCAAGTGCTCGTAGTAGAAATTTAGCCACAGGTAGTCTTTATGTTCCGTGGGAAGGAACAGCCGTGCATTAACGAGCCGCCTTCAGCAAGGTGCGGGGCGTGGCTTGCGGAGATATTCTTTCTACCTTCAGTGCCTATAAGAGTGAATGATCTACCTAGGACACCTCGATATCTCTGCAGTAGTAGCACCCTGAATGAAGGAGAAATAGCAGCCATATCAAGATATGAAGTTTCTGCTACATTTCCTGGCAAAGGGAGCTATAGCGAACGGAAGGTTTGCACAGTTTGCTATACAGGGCATCTCTTTGAATCGACTGAACTGGATAATTATCCCCAGACGGACCCCTGCTATTGCACCTATGTATCGGGTAAATCGTGCTGCGCAACATGGTACAGTATTGCGGGGTTCGGTGTAGACGCCGAGCACATTTCCATGCGGCAGGTGCTCATTCCACGCTAGCTTGCATGCATCCGACTGGTGCTGTGGCTCGCCTTGACTATCTACATCCATCACTCAAACACTCACATGATCCCAGAATCTCTCGATAATCTCCCTCGGAATCAGACCCTTCTCACCCTCCATCTCGAAGATCTGCAGCGGCGCGCCCTTCTCTACCGCTACCAACACAGCCTTCTTTCCCGGTGCCCCTTGCACCACGCGTCTCAGTTCCTCCAGCAGCCATACTAGTCGCTTGAGCTGCCGCTGGTGGTCCTGTGCCCATATCTCGAAGTCTTTCTCAAACCAACGTACCTCCTCAACGTTTGTTATGAGATTACGGTAGTGGTGACCAAAGACGCAAAGCGATGTGCGGCCGAACCAGCATTGCTCACTCGCTTGACGCTTCTTAGTGTTTGACTTGAGCTCTATCGTTGAGTTGTGAGGCTGGTATGTGCCACAGTTTATGACAAAGGTTTGACTGTTGTTGCTATGGGGTACTATGGCGTGACTGGCTGGTTGGAAGATGTGCATGATATTGTCGAAGAACTCTTGTAGGTCGTAGTTGTCGTGGTTTTGAGAGGCAGGCTCGATATGTTGAAGATATGCATCAGCTTCAATCCTAACTGCTAGCTGTAAATCTCCCATCTGGTACTGAATGACCCTGTGATGTCCGTCGACGTCCTGGAGGTTGGAGTCTTCGCAAGTGAAAGCATTTTCGAAGTTATGGCCGCATCCTTTTGACTGGAAGACTTTTGGATCTTTCTCTTTTCGACCGGTCACCAGGGTCTTGCCGACTACTTGAAGCTCGAGGCAGAATGGCCGATAGCTTCGCTTGAAGGACGCAAACTCGAACAGTTTCTGGAGAGAATTCCTGTTAACCAAGACGTCAATGCCATTCCAGCGTTTGGTAGGATTCATGACAGCCATGGCTTGGAATATTGGTTCGAATGAGTATTCAAGACTCGGCTTGCCATGTTGGTCGATCCAGAATGCGCCCTTGTCGGCCTGTAGCTGCCTTGGTAGACGCGGAGGCTGATAAAGAGACGGAGTCCCCGGGACGTAGATGGTGGGCTTCAGAGCACTCTTCCAGCTATAGCTGCAAAGAAGATCGTAGGGCTCGTTGCCGGTGACAGCGGCAGAGGAAGATTGCACGTCGAATATCGCGATCGTGTGAATGCGCTGTTGTCCTTTTCGAACGCGCTTGAGCATCCAAGAAGGATCCGAAAACTTTGTGCGACGACCTTCGGGGCGGCCGTTATAGCCCTCTCGTGTTTCCCAGGGCGGTACACGTTGTTCTGCTGCTATAAACTGCATTTTTCAGGGTTAGCTTATTTTCCAACAACAATTTAGTGCATAAGAGGTTCGACAAAGAGGTTGTAGTTGGAGATAGGCGGCTGAGCAGCGAAGAAGGTATGAGGCAAGGCGACCCGTGTTGACAGCTAGGTTCGCGTAGTGAAGGTGAAAAGACGTCGCCAGCTCAATCGGGCATCGACTGATGGGAATACAGTATCAGCTGTAGGCGGTAGCGTAAGAAGCAGGCTGTTCAATCGAGCTCGAGAAAGCACGATTTAGACGATACGGACAATCTTTGGTAATGGTGTTTTTCACGCTCAAGGTCAAGTAGGCATGACCGTGATGGCTGAGTGGCATATCTGTAGCTGTAGAGAGGACTGTAGCCTGTAAAGGGATCTCTTGAACAGCAAGAAATCGCGATATCATCCTAACAGAGCCTCTATATAGTATTAATCAAGTATCTGTGCAGTACTGTCAGACGAAAGTAGCTATCGATGTGTCGTCCGAAGTCAGTCAACAGGAATGTCTAGGTTGTCAACACGACTATGGGAACCACCAAGAATAACAATGAAAACACTCTCTCGGTGTTGTGTACATGTCTACTTGCAGCGCTCTTCGTCATACCGATAGCGCCGCTGTTGTCCACCACTTCTACTCGCATGTCAACACATCGGAACATGCAGATTTGGGAGAGTACTTACGACTGCCGATTGCGCCGTTCTGCTGCAACACGGCATCGCTGTTACAGAGACCCATCAGCGTAGCGTTAGCCTTGAGCTCCTGTAGCTTCAACAACGCCTTTTCAAACTTTTGTTGTAACCCCTGCTTCTGTTCGTCGTTGAGGAAGTTCGCAGTGGGTCCTTGGTTGAGACCAGTCTGACCATTTGTCGAGTTTACCAGCTTTTCCAACGTGTTTAACGCCTTGCATTCGCGAAAAGCGTCACGCTGCGCATTGAGAGAGTCACATTCGGCTGTGAGAGTTGAGTTAGATTGCAATTCTTCGAGTTTGGCGGTTATATCGGCACGGTTGCTTTTGATCCAGTCGATGCGCTCTTGGGCAAGCTTGGCAGATATGCTCGTCGCGTCCAGCGCGGTGTCATTTTTCGCGATATCATTGAGTTTTGTCAATGTACGTAGGCGTCTGCATATCTTGTCGATTTCGATTTGCCTGGTAGTGTTGAAGGTATCGCCACCTCGCCAAAGCTTAAGAGATGGATTAGTAGTCCAGGCGGTTGATGTGGTGATGAGTGCAAGGAAAAGACCGGCGAGTAATATTGGAAACTGCATCGTCAATCGAAAGTAAGTAAGTATGTGATGAAAATGCCCAGTAGAGAATGAGATTTGGCGGCTGCCACGCTGGCTTGGTATCTTGCTTCATAATCGACTAGAGCTGTCAATGTTTCAATTCATGCTCGGATGCCGCAGAGCCACAACGACTTCCTAGCCATGCGACGTTTCATGGCGAGTATGCTCTGACGTTTCTAGTTACGACGAAAGCAGCAGACATGGTAGTCAAGGTAACCCAGACGTGATTCTTAGGGAATGCGCGGATGAATGGGCTGGCTTGAGATGGATTGAGAGAGTATCGTCTTGATTTGGTGGGGTGGTATCGATAGTAGGGCTGAGTCACGCTAATGGCGGGGACCGGAGGAGTCAACTCCAGGGCTCTAGAAAAAGATTCCCCGCCACGGCCGACTCTCAGCAACCTCACGCCGCCACCATGTCTATTGAGTTTCCGAGGGAGGAGGAGCGCATCCTCGCGCGCTGGAAGGAGATTGACGCTTTCCTGAGGCAGGTTGAGCTCGTAAGTTTCCATATTACAGCCTCTTCGGGGCAAGCACGTGTGGTCGACACTTGCTGATGCATTATAGTCGAAAGGAAAGCAACCATACACTTTCTACGATGGACCGCCTTTCGCGACGGGATTGCCGCATTATGGCCATCTTCTGGCCTCGACCATCAAAGACATCATCCCCCGCTACTGGACCATGAAGGGCCGCTATGTTGAACGACGCTTCGGTTGGGATACTCACGGTGTGCCCATCGAGTATGAGATTGACAAAGAACTGGGCATGTCGGGACGCGACGCTGTCAAGGAGATCGGAATCGCCGAGTACAACAAGAAGTGCCGGGCGATTGTCATGCGATATTCAACAGAATGGAGGTCGACCATTGACCGTCTGGGCCGCTGGATCGACTTCGACAACGACTACAAGACCATGGACACCAGCTTCATGGAGTCAGAATGGTGGGTTTTCAAGCGCTTGTTCGACAAGGGCGCTGTGTACAAGGGTTACAAGGTTATGCCATACAGCACTGCATTGGCCACGCCTCTCAGCAACTTTGAGGCCACACAAAACTACAAGGACGTTCAAGATCCCGCAGTTGTCGTCACATTCCCGCTCTTGGACGATCCAAACACATGTTTGCTGGCATGGTGAGTTGCCCAATCCAACATAATCTGACTGGCACGCGCTAACCCGGCCTGACTAGGACCACAACTCCATGGACACTGCCTTCAAACACCGGCCTCTGCGCGCATCCTGATTTTGAATACGTCAAGATTCTCGACGAAGCATCTGGAAAACACTACATCCTGCTCGAGGCACTACTACGCACACTTTACAAGGACCCCAAGAAGGCCAAGTTTAAGATTGTCGAGAAGCTGAAGGGCAAGGACATGTTGGGCTGGAAATACGAGCCACTGTTCGACTACCTCTACGAGGACTTCAAGGACTACGGCTTCAAGGTTGCCAACGATACCTACGTCACAGCAGACAGTGGTGTGGGCATTGTCCACCAGGCACCCGCATACGGAGAGGACGATTACCGCGTTGCTAAGGCCCATGGTGTCATCTCTGACACCCGACCACCACCAAACCCAGTTGACGACCAAGGTCGCTTTACTTCAGTTGTCCGCGATTTCGAGGGACAACATGTCAAGGCAGCAGATAAGGGCATTATCAAGCATCTGAAGGGCACCGGTCGCTTGATTGTGGACTCACAGCTTCTCCATAGCTATCCCTTCTGTTGGCGATCCGACACACCTCTCATCTACCGAACTGTCCCATCGTGGTTCGTCAAGATTCAGGATATTGTGCCTCAGATGCTGGAGAACATTGCTGGTTCGCACTGGGTTCCTTCCTTCGTCAAGGAGAAGCGCTTCGCCAACTGGATCACAAACTCACCCGATTGGGCTGTGTCACGAAACCGTTTCTGGGGCACGCCGCTTCCGCTGTGGGTCAGCGACGACGGCAAAGAGGTGGTCTGTGTTGGCAGCGTCGAGGAGCTGAAGAAGCTCAGTGGATACGAGGGCGAGCTTACCGATATCCACAGGGACAAGATCGACCACATCACTATACCCAGCAAAGAGGGCAAAGGCGTACTGCGAAGAACAGAGGAGGTCTTTGACTGCTGGTTCGAGTCTGGTTCCATGCCCTACGCCAGTGCGCATTACCCATTCGAGAACGTGGAGCAGTTCGAGAAGTCCTTCCCGGGTGATTTCATCGCGGAAGGTCTTGACCAAACGCGTGGTTGGTTCTACACACTCACAGTTCTTGGAACACATCTCTTTGGCAAACTGCCTTTCAAGAATTGTGTCGTCAACGGTATCGTACTCGCGGAAGATGGCAAGAAGATGTCGAAGCGCCTCAAGAATTACCCCGACCCTAACTTGATCATGAGCAACTACGGTTCTGATGCGCTGCGATTGTATCTTATCAACTCACCTGTCGTTCGCGCCGAGACACTACGATTCAAGGAGGCAGGAGTCAAGGAGATTGTTTCCAAGGTCCTTCTACCTCTATGGAACAGCTACCAGTTCTTCGAGCAACAAGTGTCACTGCTGAAGAAGGTTGCTGAACTGGACTTTGTTTTCGACCCTGAGGCTGGCAAGACCAACAAGAACGTGCTTGACCGATGGATCCTCGCGTCCTGTCAGTCGCTACTGAAGTTTGTGAACGAGGAGATGGCTGCATACAGGTTGTACACCGTGGTTCCGCGGTTACTGGAGCTCATTGACAACACGACAAACTGGTACATTCGTTTCAACCGACGCCGGTTGAAGGGTGAGCACGGTCTGGAGGACACCAAACATGCTCTCAACACCCTCTTCGAGGTTCTTTACACACTCTGCCGCGGTCTCGCACCCTTCACACCATTCATCACAGACAACATTTACCTGCGATTACAACCTCACATACCCAAGGAACTGCATGTGGAAGACAACCGAAGTGTCCACTTCTTGCCCTTCCCAGAAGTGCGCGAAGAGCTATTTGACGTGGACGTCGAACGCCAAGTTAAGCGCATGCAGTCAGTCATCGAGCTTGGCCGTATTTGCCGAGACCGTGCCAACAAGGGTCTGAAGATCCCGTTGAAGACTTTGGTAGTCATCCACCCAGAACAGCAATATCTTGATGACATCAAGTCACTGGAGAACTACATTCTGGAGGAGTTGAACGTCCGGGATCTGGTACTGTCAAGCGACGAGGAGAAGTACAACGTCCAGTACTCAGCGTCGGCCGACTTCTCCGTTCTCGGCAAGAAGCTGAAGAAGGATGCTATCAAGGTCAAGAAGGCGCTACCAAACCTCAAGAGCCAGGAGATCAAGGACTACCTGAAGAGCGGCGAAATTGTCGTGGACGGTATCAAGCTCGAGGCTGAAGATTTGATGGTCAAGCGCGGTCTGGCCAAAGATTCCAGCAACAAGGACCAAGAGTTCAACACTGACAACGACGTCCTCATTTTGCTCGACGTTGCCTCATACCCAGAGCTTGAGCAAGAAGGTCTCGCGCGTGAGGTCATCCGCCGTGTACAAGATCTCCGCAAGAAGGCCGGATTGGTGCCGACTGATGATGTAGGCATGGAGTACCGTGTGCTGGCCGACCCAGAGAATGTAGGTTTGGAGAAGGCATTTGAGAACCAAGGTCCACTATTTGAGAAGGCTCTACGGAGACCTGTGGACAAGCACGTCATCACCGAGCTTGACGGCAAGATCCCAGAGAACAGCAACGAGAAGGTCATCGCGGAGGAGGAGCAAGAGCTCCACAAGGCGACTTTCATGTTGCGATTGATCAAGCTATGATAGCGTTTGGATGTGATTTGATAGCATGATGGCGTGGGATGAATCGTTGAAGAAATGAAAACCAAATTTCGAAGTTCATGTCAAAACGCCTCTATATGCCTTACGTGTCAAAAAAGCTCCTGCCACCGCTACTACCGTTGCTTGTACGCCTTCTGTTGTGGATTTAGCCGTCGATGCCTTTATATACTTTGAGAGATGACACTTACCAAATAACACTCCTTCAACTTCATAAACTCATTGACGCACATGTCTTTTCGTACGTTGTTGTAGTCTGCAAATATGCATTTGCCGTATACCGAGCTCTGCATTACGTTAGGGCAGTGTCAAGCGTGACCGGTCACATCGAGGGGCTTAACATGCCTCTTTGGAGCATTTTGCTGCCGCTGTGGCGAGTTTGTCGATGGGACGTGTTCGGCCGGGCATTTTGATGAATAGTTTGTATCTTGTCTCGCTCGGGCTCGCAGGAATGTACCAAGGAAGCGCGCCACGTCAAGATTTGTGATGTTTCTCTAAACATGGCGAACTGCCACCTCGATGAGGTCAACGATGAGGGCCCACTTAACTAAAGGCTTGGCGTTGCCTGCTTCGCGAACGCGGGCGACCAACCACTCGAACAACAAAGCGCGTCGCTGCAACGCCAGAAGCGGGCGCACAACAGCATCTCTTTTTACTTTAATCTCCTGATGCCTCATCGTTGCGCGCCTTCTCCACGACTTTCACGCATGTTGTTTTTGGGTTGCCGTTGCGATAATTCCTCCCGGTTACTTCCATGTTGTCGCGAACGCGCTGGAGACGAACGAGTCGCGTACACGAATGCTATCCTCCATGAGCCGGAATGGAGCTGATCCGAGGGCTATAACGAGCGACGACCTTTTGCGGAATGAGGGTAGGACGCCTATGCAAAATTACACCCAGAATCAAACTAACATCGCAGCAGTCTCCGAGGCCATCCACGACATTGTTCGTCGCGCACAAGACTCCCACGATGGCTCTACCAACGCTCTCTTCGTCGCATACGATGAGTACATCAAAGACTACCGTCCATCGCCCAGTGACGCCGCTCTCTACTACAGTTTCCTACTGCGCATGCAGGAATATGAACGGGATGGCGAGGACTTGATGTCGCGCCTTTTCCGCGTGGTCAAGGAGGGCTTTGGTCTTGACGCCGAACTTGACGATGAAGAGGTTGCCAGTGTCCCGAAACACCCTGAAGCGACGCGCAGAGGAGCACAGGCGAGCTTGGGACGATACTCGCGGACTGGCAGCTTTGACTCGTTCCTTGACGGGACGGCAGACAAAGTAGCAGGCACCGACTATGGCGATTTGGCTGTGCGCCCGAGGAGAGTGTCGCAGCAGGATGGGCCAAATGGCTACGGAAACAAGGGGAGCCACCGTCGTGCCACATCCGACACGGAAGCGCATTCATATCGACCAGCACAACTCCCTGCCCGTACCAGAGTGAATGGCACTGCGCCTCGCCGCACAAGTTCTGGACCGCAACCACCAGTCCATAAGCGCAGCGCTTCTGTCTCGAGCCGTGGCAGTCTACGAATCCGAAGAGGTGGACCTACCCACTCATACAGAACTGGCACTCACGATGCAGATGAGAGCGACTTCACCGATCGCACTGCGAGCCTCGACCTCTCCTCCATTCAGATACCAGGAGTCAATGCGCCGATACCTAACGATCCTTACGACTCCCCGCACCAGCGCCGCCTACGACAATCGGAGCAACAACCTCAACATCAGCAGTATGTTCCCGAACCGTTTCGACTATCAGATACCCGATTGATGGACGATGCGGAAACTTTCGAACATCAACGAGTACACAGGGTAAAGAGAGAGTGTTTTGGAATATGGCGTAATTGCACACAAGAGCGCATGAGTCTGCGTGACGACATGGAGAAAGCTGCCATCGCCTTCGATCGTCGCGTCTTGCTCAGAGCCTCGCTCCTGCAACTACGAGACACAGCGCTTGTGAGGCGTTCTGGTCGAGAGACCAATCGCTTCTTCGAACGGCTAGAAACTCGTGCAGACAAGGCTCGCAGCCTCTTCCTGCTCACCAAAGCCTTTACACATTGGGCAAAGTGCGCGGAAGATGAAGTGCAGCGTACATCAGTGGCGCGACGGCACATTCTACGCACTCGATTCTTCAATGGGTGGCGCGACATCACAGCAGTTAACGAGCTCAAGATCCAGCACTTTGCTCTGGCCAAGTTCCTCTGCATATGGCGAACACGCGCAGCAGAAGTGCGTGATAGGGATCAGTTTGCCGAATCCTATTATGAAGAGAAAATCGTCAGGAAGTCGTGGAATGCCCTGAACAATGAGTATCTCAACAGAGGCGCAGCAAACTGGCATGATACAAGAACGGCAAGAACAACACTGCAAAAATGGCGTGAGATTACTGAGATCATGAGGGAGCGGAACACGTGGGCAACCGATCGACGAGATGGGACGCTGCTGCGGAAGACATTCCAGATGTGGCAGCAGAAGACAGTGGGAGAAAATGCTCTTCAATCACAAGCGGACCAATTTCGACGTATCTCCCTCCTTTCAACGGCACTCCATACACTTCAGAAGCAGGCGCAGCTTGAGCCACTATCGCGCCAGGTCCAAGCGCGTGTCAACGGTCGCTTGCTTCGTGCGAAATTTCAGGATTGGCGTAAAGACGCTCAGCTATCACGTCAAGCAAGCAATGTCGACCGTATGCGCGTGTTACGCAACGCTTACACTGCCTGGAACGATAGACTGCGTATCAAAGCATTGGAGGATCGAATCAATGACCGCGTCATTGTTGAGTGCTTGTACAAATGGACTTTGGCATCTCGAGTATCCCTCTTCCAACGTGTTCATAATCGGCAACTCAAAGAGTCAATATTTCTATCCTGGGTCACCAAGACCAACCAGCGTGTCAACACTCTTGACGCTGCGGAGATTCGGTTCGCCCAGTTCAAACGTGCTCAGCTAATGCGGACATGCTTGCGTAAGATGGAAGCCATCACTACGGAGAGGCGACGGGAGCAGTTCGCTATCATAGCCGAGTATCAGCAAAAGATCAAGCAGCGTACATTTGACAAACTCAAGGAGAGGCTAGCGCACTTTCAAGAGTTGAAGCAATGGTCTGCCGATGCGCGCTTCTATGTTCTTAGCAAGCATACACTAAAGACATGGAGTCAAGCCACTCAACATGCACGTCGCAACCGCAGACGCGACACATACTCCCAAGTCCGTAGAACGGTCAAAACGAATCTTGTGCGCAGAGTCTTTGAGCACTGGAGGCATAAGGCAAATCACATTGCAGTGCTGACACGAAGAGCAAACGACATGATCGAAAACCGCACTCTTCAGACCAGTGGTGCAATCATGCATCAATGGCACGACAACACGCTCATACTTCGCCAACAGAATGCTCAAGCCATGAGCCTCTACACATTCAGACTTTCCGCTCGTTACTTTGCCATTTGGTCTCAACGCTTGGACCTTATACATACACTCGAAGACCAAGCTGTGGCTTTACGGCAGGAAAGCACGGAGATTGCTGCTACAGGTGCTCTCAAGAAGATGGGCTGGAGACTTTGGAACTTCCAAAGACAAGAAGACAATGCCAGGGCGTTGTTTGAGAGAAACTTTGAGAAGCACGTTAGAGCTATGGTTCGTTTCTGGGCAGAGCGGGCTACTGAACGGCTTGGCCATCGACCTGCGAGTCCAACGCCTTCCAGTAGGTCGAGAGTACGAAGACTCGATGACGGCGATGGCAACAACGGAGACTTCCATACCCGCGACGGTGACAATGATCCCGGGCAAGATGGCTTTCAGCCATCAGGTGACGAAACGCAACGACTAGAGGCATGGACAGCTTTCGATGAGAGCGCTCTAGGTCTAGATAACGATCTCGACCTCTCCCTGTCCCTCACACCAGAACAACCACCACGACAGCCAACCCTCACCCCCAAACCCTACGCTCCTGGTCCTTCTCCTGCATCAATTCGTCCACCAGGCTCCATCCTGCGCCGACCAAACACATATCCGCAACCACAATCCGCAGTTCGGCCACCGCCAGCCACCATCATAGAAGACGACGAGTCCGACCTCGACTTCGGCGAGGGCGCACAGTCGACCTTCTGGTCCGGAACACCTATGCCACCTCCTCCAAGCAGTAAGCCAGGGTACCTCAAAACACCCAGTAAACGCAGCGTCGTCCGGGCCAAACGTCCTGAACTACCTGCTAGCCCTGAGAAACAACGTGTTCTGTCTCCTGTGCGTCGGCCATTGGGCTCATTACTGGAACGGGAGAGAGGGTCGCGACTAGGTACTATGAGCGCGCCGCCTATACAGAGCAGTAGAGATAACAAGCTTGGGGTTGGTGGTGTGACGAGTTTTGAAAGGAGGTTACGAGAAGGGGGATTTGGGGGTAGTGTTGCTGCTGGGGGCAGTGCAATGAAGAGGGGGAGGAGGGGAGGTGGCAGGGCTAGAGTGGGGTTTGGAGAGGTTAGTCAGATGGGGGGATTGTAGTTATCTTGCATTTTTGGAAGCATCGCGCGGCGTCTGCTAAGGTGGATCGGTTTGGATTTGTTAGGATACCCCCTATTGCTTGTCAATGTTATCTTGATCCTGTTACCTGTCTTGTTGTAGATGTATGCTTCTAGGTACCTCACTCTCCATTGTGTTGACGGTGTAGACATTGTACGAAGATAACTTTTGAAGTAAATCAAACCTCTTCCCACAGAATGTCTACATTTCTTGGGATCTTCTGAGTTCCTTGAAGTAATACCACCAAGAACCTAGCAAGAGAGGAGCTATAGATTGTATCGCATGGGGCTAGTGAACTCGATCAAGTTGCTAAAGAAAGGAGACTGGGGTTTGGAACTATGGACACCTACGACAAGCAACACAACATCAAGGGCTCTTTCAAGGAGATGTTCGGCACAGATATGCATGAGGATTAACCCACATTTCCCAATATTGAGGAGGGCTTGGATGACATAATTGATCAATATGGTGATGAGAGCGCTGAGTTACTGGAGCTGCCGAAGAAGTGTCGAGACAAGAATCTAGAGAATACGAGCCATTTGGCAATTTTACTTCGGCTGCTAGAAAGCAGCAAGGTCAGACTGAGAAACACTGAGACAGGTTGCAGAAGGTGTGAGCGATTGCATGAAAAAGAGTAAGAACTTAAAGAGACAACGAACCGTTAGGTCCCGAATAGTCCCTAAAGCCTGAGCCAAACATCCTGTACGTACGCCAGCTATATGCAAGGATGGTATAGCTGAAGCATCTCGACGCGCTGATCAGGGGTTTTTAAGCGCGCATGCAGCTTACGCTTTTGTGAATGAGTTACGCCGCAACAGCGGGTGTATAGATGTTGTATTTTTGTTGGTCGACGAACATGTCCGTGACTGAACCGATTCGTCGCTTAATCTAAAGAACCCTGCCAATATATGGCTCTCTCCGTATATTTGTTTCATTTCTGACATCAGCTCATGCTTCGTCCAATGCTTGGTCATTATCATGGTGTACCTGGTGTTCATACCCACAGTGCTCATGCGTGAAAGCGACATCATATCAATACTACGTACCTCTTCTCTCAAGACTTCTTCATATCTACCACACTTTCCTCAATACTGTTTGCCATGCTGCATCATATCACTATCAGGATGTGCAAACCCTCGTCCATATTCCTCAGCATCCTCGCTATCACCCTCACAGCAGCCCAAATTCCCCCAGACTATAACTTCTGCACGGGTGACAAAAGCACCTTGGGCCATTGCGACACACTCACATACGTAGACACTACTCTGGCCGCCAAAAATCCACCCAACGCGACGGAATGCCAGGAAGCTTGCAGTAGTATTTTCCAAGATGCTGGAGAGTGGGTCGTTCATCTAGAAGGTAGAAGCACCACTTTTCCATCCCTCCTTGTCTCATATACGCTTGTTTAATTCCATCAAGGCTAACCTTTCTACAAGGCAAACCAGAAGGTTACCAACAACACATGCACAATGCGCCCTGCGGTTTTAGCATGGGTGCCATTCCCAATAGTTCACACGAGTTTTCGTTTGACATGAATAACCAGGATATGGTTGACATCATCGATGAGGCGATCAAAAGGTTCGCGGGGTTGCACGATGGGAAAGTGGCGGCGCAAGGAACGGTGAGATGTGATGGCCATGAGGCCATGTGGTATGTCAGCCGGGATGCGCGGTAACATTTTCACTTTGCAGTGATGTATTGATGAGATATGTTAACCCTTGGGACGTACTTATCCATATCAGTTCGTTTTGGTATGAGCTGATGGAACCTACGTAGTATCTGGCCTAACCTGACTCAGCCTCCATAATACTCTGCAATCTACCCAGTGAATTGACCACAGTGACAGCTACGTGTTTCTCTTGACCATTTAAGTCCAAAGTTGTCCCACAGTTCTGCTCTTTCTCAGCAAGCCACACACATTCTATTCCTGCTTCCGCCGCAGGGATGATGTCCCTTTCCCAGCTGTCCCCTACCATCACTGCATCCCCACTCCTTATTCCGAGAGTCTCCAGCGCCTTGCCAAACAGCCCATCTACCTTCGCCACACCAAGCTTATTCGTCGTGATCAGCCTGTCATAAAATGGCTCTAAGCCCAAAGCAGCGACAGTACGTTCCTGCGAATCCTGGGGGCCTTCTGTGACAATGGCTATGCTTTTCCCTTTTTGCTTCAAAGCCTGCAGTAGTGGTATTGCGCCTTCTTTAAGCTGCAGATGTTTTGTAAGTGCTGTTTCGTAGGTGTCGAGTAATACCTGCATCTGCAGCTCTGTACATCTAAGATCAAAGGTATCCATGACACCCTGGAAACGCTCTGCACGGTACTCATGGCTTGTTTTCCCGTCTACGAATGCTGCTGCTGTTTTGGTTCTAAGTACCTTGGTATATTCCTTCTTCAACTCGGAGGCTATGAGCGGTTGACTGGACGTAGTCTCACGGTTCGCGTGTTGTTCTGCGATGATATGCAGCGTCGCATCGACGGCGGCGGAAGATGCTTTGCGGAACTCGTGCAAAGTGTCGTCGAGATCGAAGAAGAACCAAGTTGCTCCCTTGAAGTATTCAGTCATGTCGCCGTTATTGAGTGTCGGAGAGGGGTGTAAGATGGCGTTCTTGAAGGTTGTCTAGGTACCTGCGGTCTGGTGCTGAAAGTATGGGTGCAGAGATGGATGGAGTAAGCTACGACAAACTAACTGTACTCGAAAAGAGTAATGGGGAAATGGAGTTTGACTTGGCGCTCCTGCTCGACATCGCTAGCCGGTAAAACTCGTGTCTCTATGCTATATCTTGATGTTGAAGCAGAATTTGAACAAAATCATTGGCAGCTGACAAACGTAACATAGGTCGGAGACGCGCCTCGGAATCCGGCACCTGGTTTGGCAAGTAAGAACAGCATGTTGCAGGGATGCACATGATGGCGTAACCATTAAAGAGAGTTGCGCAACTTCAGTGTTTGACTCTGCAGAGATCGTCGGGGTTAGTACGCTTTCCTCGCGCATTCGAGTGTGTGTCGTCATTGGCAAGCGCAACCGGACCTCGGAGACGTCCGACCAACGGTCGTACAGCTTTGCAATAAAGTCAACGATACAGGAAGCACTTGACACAGGGATACACATATCTTCCTGGACAATCTTGAAGAGTTAGTGACGAAGTTCGCACTCATGCAAAGATTTGAGGCTAATAGCCAGTCGGACAACCCCGCTCTTTCACTCGAGATCCTGTACCGAACATCACAAGAAGTATGCACCAAATGACACAGCTGAGTCTTGTAAGAATAGAAATAAATTTATATACTGAACTAACAATCCTATGACCATCATACCCATCAATCAATACCGAGTTCTTAGTGAGGCGCATAACCTCCCGCGTTAGGATCATCAGTAAGCACAACGTAAAAACCCAAGGGACACAGCAAATCGCTTTGCTTGAACGTCAACGTTGTATCATCGGAGCACAATGCCCCACTGACGGTCACCTTTCCGATGCCAGGAGGAATTCCACACGGAGCACCATTGACAATATAGCTGTTGCCCGGCTTGATGACCGGCGGTGGGTTTGGTGGGCTAGGTCCTGGACGTGGTTGGTGGTTGTACGTAGTAACGCCAGCCTCTGCACCAGCATTGATATCGTAACCGGTAAAAGTGAAATGACCAGGGCCTTGAAAGACGAAAAGACCAGGTGCTTGAATAAGAGAAGGAAAGTCGAAGACAAGATTGCAGATCTTGCCTTGGGTGGCGTCAGAGTCGAGCTCGAGATTGAAGATTGTGCATTTATCTTTGGGAGTTACGGTCGCCCATTCCGTGGCTGGGTATGCTTTGTCGGGGTTCTTGGCAGATATGGGGACGAGTACTGAGGTTGAGATGCTGTTTCCTTTGGGTAACCTGCCGTCAGGTTGGGCAGGATTTGCCGGACATTTGGCGAAGTTCTTCAGGACGCTCAGAGTGCGTGGTGTGATATCGCTTGGTGCAAATGTAGCTGGTGCAGCGAGTGCTGTAGCCAGGAAGGCTGAGACAAGCGTGAAGGTCTTCATGGCAAAATGGCTGACGTTGATTCGACAACTTTTGGAGATGGATCAAGAGATGTTCTATGGCTTGCGAACCACAAAGAGAGCGTATATCATCTGTAGAGGCCAATCGCTCTCTTTATACTTCTCTCTTTGATACCGTTAACTCAGCTTGTCGTCGCCAAACTGGCGCACATTGGCAACGATAATCTAACGTTCGCGTAACGATTGTCGCTCTCGACTACCCCTTCAGATGATGAAAAGCCTCATGGGTGACAGGCAAGCTGATAAGCGAGCCTCACTTGTTTCCAAGAACAGCTTCCTCGCTCACATCTCCAACTCATGCGATTTGCTAGAGACGCCAGGCACGGCTCGATAGCCTTGTAGGTGAGACGTAGCTAGCTAAGTAAGCTCTGTATTCAGGAACGACTGTCTTGACTCTGCTTTCGCTTTACTAAAGTCAGAGAGGCCTGAAAAGCGTATTGAGAGACTATTGGCTGATGGCTGTTTCATACAGTAAAGGTTGTCGGAACCCCACCTTTCTACCCGTCAACGTGGGCATCGAGTAAGCTCTCCCAAGACTATTGGAGGCATCTTCTGTGCAGCTTGATATTGGCATTTTCACTTTCAAAGCAGTCAAGGCATGCTCAGCTTAAAGTGGGCACTTCTTCGGACGCAATCGGCGGGGCGTGTTTAGCGTTCTGTATTTCCATGGTAGCGCTGCAACACCTGCATCCATATCATAGATTCGCGCGAACGAGTCGAGACCCCGAGAAAGAAACAAGCCTAACGTCTAGTGCCCGTTTGATGCCTGCTGCCCTTGGCCTTAGGCAACCTCCAAGAGGTATAGAGGTGGCGTTCGCAGCGACGGTCTACGCTTAATGAAACCACCTTAGCTATCGAAAATTAGTTCGTGGTCCAAACATAGCTCCCAAGCTACCCATTGGAGGCTTCTCACGATACTCAACTATGACTGGCTGAGATGAGCAGTTACTGACGTCGGTGTCAGAAGAGAAGGAATGGCGCGGCCGTGGTGTGTCTCCAGTGAGTGTGCAGCAAAAGATGGGCCGCATTGCGCTCTACAACAGCCTTCCTGGTTCCTGAGGTTATGTCATCGCATCTAATGCTGTGCCATTACCACGAGACTCTCATGCGAGCCAGCCTCATGTCCACTTGCTGTACTCGTGTTCCGCGGCGACCCAGTCCCATGGTAGCCATGCGCCGGTAAGCCAGAGCGAAAAAACACAGACTGACCCTGGCTAGGGCGCCGTGTCCATGTCTTACCTGCGACTACAAGCACACTACGTTGAATGCGGCCTTACGCCGTGCGATACGGGATAACAATATGTTGCCACAGATGGGCGCACGTGATTGCCATATCTCAGTGCTGATAGCTAGCTGCAGCTCATTCACGGTCGGCATGACTATGATCACTGGAAACACACGTTGGGCATATGGTAGGTAGAGGATATGAGCGATTGGTAAATGAAGTTCACGATCAAGAGTAGCATAGAGAAGTGGTTTTTTTTTTCAAGTTCAATTTCAACAACACCATCCGCAGACTAATTACAATTACCCTTTCCGACACCAAGGATATTTACAGTGAATTTCAATCCCCAATGCAATGTATCATGTAAAGTCATAGCTTGCCCGTGGACACGCTCAATTGAATGTTATGACATTTACAAGAAGAAAGCAGCGAAAGCACCAACACCGGCAACGAAGCCACCGACGTTGAGAGCAGAGGCAGCACCAGTGAACTCAGCAGGGGTGGAAGGCTTGACGTAGCCACCGGTCTTGGTGGGCATGCCAGTGCCAGCGGGAGGAGCACCAGTGCCAGCAGGGACAGAGGGGTAGGGAGCACCACCGACGGGGACAGATGGGTAAGGAGCACCACCGGAAGGCTGGGGAGCACCAGGGACCATGGGGGTACCGGAAGGCTTGCCAGCACCGGGAACGACGGGGGTACCGGTGGGGTAGGGGACAGTGACGGTGATGGTGGTGGAGCTCAAGCAAGAGGTGGTCTCAGCCTCGGGGACCTCAGGGGTCATGGAGGAGGCAGGGTAAGAGGGAACCTCAGAGGTGGCGTGCTCGGGAACCTCGGGAGTCTTGGTGGACTCGACGGGGTACTCAGCAGGCTTGGAGGGAGTCTCAGCTGGGTACTCAGCGGGCTTGGAAGCAGAGGGGGTCTCAGCAGGGTACTCGGCTGGCTTGGAAGGAGTTCCAGCGGGGTACTCAGCGGGCTTGGAGGCCTCAGGAGTAGCGCTGGAGGCGGGGTACTCAGCAGCGGGAGTGGAGGGCTCAGCTGGGTAGGCAGGGTAGGCGGGAGCAGCAGAGGAGGGCTCAGCAGGCTGAGCAGGGTAGGCAGGGTAAGCCGGGGCAGCGGGAGTGCTGGCTGGGGCAGCAGGGTAGGCACCGTATTGGGGAACGGCGGCGGCAAGGCCAGCGAAGGCAGCGACGGCGAATGAGTAACGCATTTTGATGGTATTTAGAACTTGAAACGGTAAAGTTGGAAGTGTTGGTTGGTGGAGGTTGAGGTGGTTGAGAGAGTTGGCGAGTGTGTATTATTAATGATAGTATTAGTTGGTAACAACGAATGGACGACTCGAAGGTCAAAGGACTTGAAGCTCGAAAGTTTGGCTGTGAAGTGAAGAAAAACAGCAAGGCGACCACGCTGCTAT